ATAAATTTTGCACTTTTTGAATGTGGTAGGGATAGCGATTATCTCCTTTTACAGTTCGCCAAATTGTTTGTGGTGACACTCCCAATACAGCCGACGCATTCCGAACGCTGGTCTCAGGATGATTGTCAAAATGTTGTAAAATACGATTCCCTGCCTGCAAATCTCTTCGTAACGCTGCTTGAAATCGGTTGTTTTCTTGTCGAATTGAAAATGATCCAGTCTCTCGCAATCTATTAAATGTCAACATAAACACTCTTCGGTTTGGCACTCTTCTGTTTGGAAATCGTCGTGCATATTCTCGCACCGCCTTTAAAGCATTACCGTTGCAGAAACCGTATACAAAAACCATATCAGCATATTCACTATTAGAATACGTACGCGGCATATTGCAAAAGACAAAATTCATCTACTGTTAAAGGCTTTCAAAGAGCGACTGACAAATTCATAACAGAAAGTGGAAAATGTAATCAAATATGTCGGTGCTAGATATGGCAAGAAATGTAAACATTTTTTTTCGATTTCTCTGAAACGGAGCAAAAACGAGCATATGTCTATAGGACTTTTTTTCTTAGTTTTTTACTCCTCTACACGCTCCCGAAGTTTTGCGATTTAATTTGGAAACACCCTGTATATATATATATATATACATGTACATTGAAAACAACTATGGTGTTATATCAATAGCATTATTTTAATTGAAAATAATTTTGTTAATTTAATAACATTATTAATAAAATAAATATGGCGTTCTCTTGTTTCAATAAAATTTTATTTGTTTCATTAATATTATTGTTAAACCAACAAGATTATTTTCAATTAAAATGACGTTATTAATATAACAATTTTTTTTCAGTGTATATTAATGAAATAGTAAAAATGTAATTTAGGGTATCGATCATGTAACTTTTTCCTATCGCAAAAATGTGAAAAGTGAAAATTTTTTGTATGTGTGTATACGTATATGTGAAAATTTTTATTTTTCACATTTCCGCTTAGAAAAAAAATTACGTAACTGATGCCTAGATCATAAAAAAATTTAATTAATTTCATTAATTATTTCAGAAACAAACGAGTTGACGACCATGCCCGCTCGAGGCGTGATGTCACGAATTCGAACCGCTATAATTTGGGTATCATATCAGCCCCAAGGAAATCTTCCAGACTAGCTGAAAGCGCATTGTCTTCGGGCGAGAGTACGACGGGTGATAGTAGCCAGCAAAGTCAAAACTCTCAAAGATCGCAGAGATCTGTAGTGTATCTTCATGCTGCTACAGGTACAATAAAAATACTTCTCTAATATAGCATTTGTTATAATTATTTTAATTTTATATTTTATTCTAAGAAATTTGCAACACTATAATTTATTTTTCAGTGTAATATATTTAATTTCTTATTTCCAAAAAATTTAAAAACCAAAAAATAAAGGATTGTTGAATTTGATGATTATTTAAATCGATTATATGGATAGTACAAAAATATCAAGATGTTATTGGTAATTATTCATATTCTAAATAAATATCTTTTGTGAATCAGCCATCACAGATTAAAATAAAATAGTATTTTCAAATATTAATAAATCAAATATTAGTAATAAAAATATGACACTTTATATTAAATTTGTGCTAAAGAAATATTGATCAATCCACTTAAAAAAAATATGTAAACTTCTTTAATATCTCATATATAACATTTAGCTGAAAAGTTATCACTGCCAATAATAGACATGCTCTATGAAGCGTATCGTTCATTGAACGCTTGAATTCTGCAATACTTGTCACATTTGCGTCATAGGAAATTAAAAAAAAATATATATATTACACTGAATATTGGTTGGATATTTAAAGTTATTTAACTAGCAGTCTATACGAATAATGTTCAGCAGTGAAAGTGTAGAAAATGTCGTCAAGCGTAACCGCACTCTAATTACGACTCAATATCTGCATTCCAGTCGGCGAAATACCAGGCCCGAACGAACGACGCCGGGCGGCAAGTCGCGAGGAGTTAAATCGACCGTTGCAATCGCACACGAGAACGGTGTCGAGAAGCGTGAGCGTCCTTGCTCCGTGGAAGCCGCGACATTATAGGGAACCGTTCGAGATCAACTATGATCAGCAACAGCATGCGAAACCGATCGCGACCATGAGACGTAGACAACGAAGCCGCGAAACCCTCAGCCGCCGAGGAAAGGAAGCTCGGCGAAGCAAAGACAATCTTTCTAAGACAAGTAAATGATCTTACTCTTGAGCAAAATAACATAATTTAATCTGTTAAATAAAATATGTACGTAATCTTTAAAGAGAGAAAATTAACTGGCAAATGGCAATGGTATCTCTTTTTTTTATTTAATTTTATCTAATAAAAATTCTTGAAAAATTTAATAGCAAGTGTTTCACTAAATGAATAATAAGATTGTATTTTTTAATGAGAAAGAAATATTTTTACAATGAACTTAATTAATTTTAAATAGTTTTATTCTTTTAAACTTCAAGGTAAATAAAAAAACTGAATTTAGATTTTTTCAAGTTGTTAAGAAAAATGAATTAGATTTAATTGAAATTTAATCATTAAGGAGAGCTTTGTGCAAACAATCTGAACTAATGCTGAATTATCTGAATTTGCTATTTCAGTTCATATTTTATCGAGTTAATACTAATTTATGTTGATGTAATAACTCTGTTATTACTGTTTAAGACTGTTTAAGAAACGAAAATATCCACTTATTGCAGGTACGATCAATCGCAGCACATTAAAATCGAAGGACAAGCAGAAAGTGGATAGAACCGTTTCCACGGAATCGCTGGCCACCAAATCGCGAGGCATAGGCTCCAAAGTGGAATTAAACAGATCCACGTCCGTGCCCCGTGACCCGAACAAGAGTGCGGGATGGTTCAAGCTAAAGAGCAAGAAATCCCGCGCTTGAATTGGATGGCCATTGATCAATGCTAGTCGACTCGAGTTTCATAAGTGTAATCCGTAATTTCATAGGCGATTAATAAGCGTCGATATCCGGCGCGCGCTGATTAATAACGATGCGACTTATCGATAATATACACCTTTTAACATGCACGTCGCGCAAATGTCGACCGCGCGAATTTTTAATTTTTTAACCGAGTAGCATATGATTGCGGCAACGACGTGTAAATTAATTGCTGTCAACACGTTGATCGATTTTGCGAATTTATGGAATTTCCGTGCTACCTAAGACACAAAGTTTTAATCCCCGCATAAATAGATCTATATATCTATACGTAACAGAATAAAAACAATTATCCAAATATATACATAGGCACATGCGAAGATTTCAACCTCAGTTACGCATCAAATTAATATTGTTATGCTCTTCGCGCATTAAATAAATAATGTTCTTTGTAACAAAGAAGATTGCGAAAGAATGTAAACTCTTGAGAAGTATAAAATTAAATATAAAGTATATTCTAAAATGAGAACCTTCTCAATATATCGAATGTTACTTTATTTTAATAGCTTTCTCTCTGCCAAATTTAACGAATTAAATTTGTTGCGAATGATGAGAATGCGTTTATAATATGTTTGTATACATCGTGAATTAACATTTCATCGTGCATTAACTTTTGTTTTTCCTTCGGGACTTGACAAAAAATGCTTTTATCATTTGATGTTTTTTTTTCATATTTTCACGTAATTAAATCCATGTGCATTTTTGAAAAATTAACGCGTCACTTTATTCTACCGTGAATCAAAGTGCCATCTACATTTTTCTACATTCCTAGTATATACACTCTCTGTTAATGAATCAAAATTTCCGAATATATATTCTGTAACAAACAATATCTTTCTTTTATACGATAAACATTAGTGAGAAATTCCAGAAAAAATATTGTTTAAATTTCATCTCAACGATCAAAAAATTATCTCCATTTACAAAATGGACAGTTACGTAGCGATATCTACTGAATGTTTTCCTGTGCATAGATCAATCTCATCTTTGCATGCTTATTGTATATAAATACTTGTGTTGATAATCATAATTCTTAATCTATTTTTACTAGACCTTTTCATTATATATATATATATATATATATAACTCTTGTCTTTGTACATTCATGGATCACAGATTACACATACACTGTTGCGAAATTTCCACGTTCGACACAAGTCGAGAGACGCTTTCGTCATTTTTTTATAACAGTGTAGAGAAATAAAACGCGCGACTATAGACATTATCTGTTGTACTGTGATACGCTTTTGCGTGTGGACAAAGAAACAAATTAAATATGGCGACATAGTCATCTTGCACCATAATTACTATTTCATTCCTACCCGGTGCTATCTACGTGTGTGTGTACATATGGATCATTAAACGATATGCATGTAAATATCATGAATATATATTGACGATATTGTACGGAATTACGAAAAAACCTATTACCTATTAACACAGACATTGCTCCTCTTTATAAGATACGTTAAACGCGAAAACAGAGATCGAGTATCTTGTAACAAGATTAATAAATGCAATGATGTAAACTAGCATATCATTAATAATAAAATATATTAATGTTAAATACTTAATAATATTAAGCAAAATCAAGTGAATATCGTGACTTTGCTTTGTTAGAATTTCAATTCATTGTGTTAATCATTGTGGTACTCACATACACAGGATGGATGTGGATTAATCGGCAGGTAGTATGGATGAACAGGAAAAGGAAGGGTTACGATGCGTGCTTAATGATCGTCGTCTTAAGTGTGCAAGTCATAATTCCACGGTTTTATTCAGTTTGTCCCAACAACATAACATGGTTCCACACAGCACAAGTATCATTCCCAGATATGTATCTAAAAAGTAAAGCAGATCATAAAGCAATTAATTCAAAGCATTCTCTAACGATGGAGATAAGCTCGCATGTACTCACTTCTATGTACTTTTTCCTCGCCCAGGAACCAGCCTGTGACCGCAGTAAATACAAAGGTAAGAGAATTTGAAACTGGTACAGCTAGGGATAGGTCGCTACTCTGCAGAGTCAGGAAGTACAGTACCGAACCGCATTGATTAAGGAGAAACGGCACAATGTACTGTATAAAAAAAATAAAATGAATTACAAATACTATTACTGCCAGCAAATACTATTACTTCTAGCAAGTGTTTACTGAAATCTTGTAAAAAAAAAATTCTCTGAGAATTCCCGAATTTTTCAACTGTTTTTGTTTAAAATTCAGTTCATTTTTGTTTAAAATTCAAGATAATATTAGAGAATTTTTTAATGCAACTTTGGAATAAAGGAATGAAATTAGAACGCAACGCAAACAGAATATACATAGAAAATTCGTAAAATACAAGAGTTTTTCACATAAATACACTTTTAACTGTATCTATCATTTTCTACAATTAGAGTCACGAAACCTAGGATAAGTAAAATGTAAATGAGCTACTCTATTCTGCTGAGTCTTCTACTGTCACCTTGATTTTTTTCAATAAAAACTCGTGAAATACAAAAATGTATATAAATAGCGGATGTATATCATATTTATTGCTAATTGATTATCAACATTTTGCATCATCAAGAAAAAGATAAAAGAACTAATGTTTTCAAAAAAAGATAAAATTTAAATTTAAAAGTAAAATTCTTAAAATTTTTCTAAATCCTAATAATAAAATTCCATAAAAATCTCTGATTTTCAAGAGTAAAAAATAAATCTGAAAATTCCAGATTTTCCAGGTTTTTCTAAATAGTAAACATCCTGCAAGCTAAAATTGTTTTTAATATTATTATCTGTAATGTCATTTAACATCAAAATGTTGAGAAATAACATCAGCTTGTTTGCTGGATCCTTGTAATTTAAAATTAATTTAGTAAAATGTATGTAATGATACAACAATCACCTTCAGATTAGTGATGAGAAATAACTGCTCCTTAAAAAATTGTCCATAAACTGACTTGGCATTGATATTCTCCAAACCTTGTGCACCTTTTTTTATAAATGGATTGGTTACTCCCCAAAGAATCGCCACGAAACACAGATATATCACAGTATCTGCAATATAAACATACATGTTGACATTATCATTTCAACACACTGTTTGATATCACTGAATCTCTGCTTTTATTCTCGTATTCAAAAGATTATTTTTTAACAAACAAGCAGAAAAAGATTGTTAAAACTAAAATAGCTCACCAATAGTAACTGCCATTTTCGTCGGAACGTTGCACGCATCAAACAATACACTGCAAATCGCGTCATGAGAATTAATTAATACGTTGAATGCCGGATTTGCGTATCTACAACAGAGTAAAATTTTTGCCATTAAATCCATATTTTATATTATATTTACAAGTAATTACATTAAATCACGTCATTTTACGAGTTTCAGATTTTTCTCAAATTTGATAGTGCCATCAGTCACCGACGTCATTGAAAGTTAAAACGCCGATCACATTATAGGTGCCACGTCCGACATACTAAATAAATTATAAACAATGATGGCCATGATGTAAGACTGACAAGGCACGAATTCGCACGAACTCGAGCGAAATTGATCGAAACGCATATTCACACTGGACGCAGCAAGCGTCAAGCAGCGGAGTAGCAACCAATCAATGAGGCGATATTTACAGTAAACAAACGCCTTGTTAGTTGATTGCTGCTTGACGCTTGCTGCGTCCAGTGTGAATATGTAAATTAAGGCAATAGATTATAGACGCCTTGTTAAGGTGTCTTTATAGGGGAACGTCAACATGAAAAGGCACCTTTACAAATCGTGAACACGTCGTTTGCATTGTTAATTAGGCCCAGTTCCAACTCACAGTTAATTCTTAACCGAGATTCAACTTATTCATTATCTTTTTCTAATTATAGAATTGAAAAGAGATGAGAAACAAGTTAAACCTCGGTTAAGAGTTAACCATGATTTGTGGAACTGGGCCTTAGTCACGGCGATATACTTTCGACCGAACAAGTTTTACAAAATACTCGTTCGAATGGATCATTAGTATACAAATATCGAATCCAGTTACGCAGTAGTTAAATATCGAAAAATGATTAAATACAAGTTTTATATATATTCTAATTACCATATTTAATCGCGCTGCCACATATTTGAGAGCCGTCCGTTTCGCCGCGTCACCTCCTATCCGCCGCATTCCGCGAATAAAACATGATGCGATCGAAATAGGGAAGCGTCGTTTTCCATGCGCGGCCAACTTCACGTGGAAAAAGCGACGCGAGACTCGGCGGGACGACGCGTCTTGAGTTTCAATCGAATGAGAAAAATACTTTCGGCTAGCTGAATAATCTATGTACTAATACTATTAGAATCTATATTACGCGATATTTAAAATGTTATCGGAAATGCAAAGTTAAACTTCGTATTAGGCCAATATTACATGCGTCCGTTTTTTGTCGTACAATTTTTCAAGCCAATCGATTGGCTATAGAACAAAGAGGCCGAATACGGGTCAGAAATTATATTCTTTCTGAAAATTAAAAACTGATTAGAATAAATAGATGATGGCTATCAAAGAAATTGTATGAAAGAAAAATAGAACTTATAAAAATAAACAATCAATCTTAAAAAATGCGCAAATCAAAGTTATAAATTAATAAAGAAAAATTAAACGCTTGTAGGTTTATCGAAATTTACGAATCGATAGTTGTTCTTTAAACAAATGACGAATTGAAAAAACAACTTACAAATTTCTATTTCAATTAGAATTTTTTAAAAAGAGGAAAAGAGAAAGAAGCATAATATAAATTATAAATTGTATCATTTAAACATTGCACACATAAATATAGAGAAATATACTTATTACTTAAAGTTCTATAGTGAAATTTTAAATCAAAATATTAATATAACAGTATATAACTTCACTGAGTTTTATTTTATTGTTAGGTATTAAATGTATTATGATAATAATCATTACGCTCACTATGAAATGGAAAACGATATCAGGATCGGAATCCATAGTCCGTTCTTAATCTCAAACAAAGGCTGCGTTCAGCAGACTCAACAGTTTTGCAACCGTTTTATGATTGTCTGCTGAGATAGGACCATTCTTCTAGATCTAAAAGTATGATCCAATTAGCGCGAAGGAAACTTCCAACAGTTGCAAACAAACGTTCTGCTGAACGCAGCCAAAGTCTGAGATACTAATACGGCTCTGATTGGTTCATGCACTAGCTTAAGACCATCTCGAATCTTGAGCACCGTCTATGGATTCCGCCCTAGGTTTTTTGTTTATACGTGGCATCGGAAAGTGAACTCGACAAAATCGCCCGTAATTCTCTTGCTGAATTTACATTGCATCCGATTTTTGTCGTACG